AATCATTGTAAAAACATTTTTCATACGTGGCAATCATGCAAGCCACTGAGAACTGGTGAAAGGTTTATTTACGATGTAATGAATTACAAAACCTGAGCAAAACAGGCTGGGCGGTACAGGTGACAGTGGAAGGCTGTTGTGACTCCAGAGCAATCATGCTGAGTGTGCATGAATTATGATTCTCTAATATTTTTTTGGTGTATAATGACTAAACTTGGAACTTAATTTGGCAAGTCACACATAGTGTATTTAAATTGTGGGTATCAATAATTAAAAAATTTTTTTTTAAATTTATTTTTCCCCCAAAGCCCCAGTAGATAGTTGTATGTCATAGTTGCACATCCTTCTAGTTGCTGTATGTGGGACGCGGCCTCAGCATGGCTGGAGAAGCGGTGCGTCGGTGCGCGCCCGGGATCTGAACCCTGGTGGCCAGCAGCGGAGCGTGTGCACTTAACCGCTAAGCCATGGGGCCGGCCCTAATTTAAATTTTGTTAAACAGTAAGACAGATAACAGTTAACTAAAATATTAAGGGAGTGTGTCTTAGCTCGATAACTTTAGGAGTTATTTTTTCAGAGCCAATGAATTTATAATTCATATAACAAAAAGGCAAATTAATAGACTAGATCATAATTGAAATCTGTGTAGAACTGGTGGGATACTAGCATTGATAGTTTGAACAACTAAAAATCAAATATAATTCTTAATGTTATTTTAATTTCACTTTGGCTATTAATCTCAACAAAAAGTCCTAGTTGGGAATTCTTATATTGTAAAAATTAATTAAAAGCAAAATGTCACATAAAATGCCTCAAAATTTCATGAGAAAAACTCTGAAATTATTTAACAAAATCTATCATAAAAAAATAAAATTTCAGATTTATTTTTGTATGTCCGAAGTTGATTCCATAGTAGTGCATTTATCTTAAGGCAAATATTAATTTTAAAAAACTTAGCTACTAAGCATGCAGCCAAATTGTGTTTTTGACAAACTTCTGCAAGTAATTGTACTATGAAACTTTTATTTAAATTTTGTTCATAGTGGATTGTGATGTACAATATATTTCTTCATTTGGGTAGCCCTCAAAGAACCTTGAAAAACACATCATATTCTAAAACCATACTCTAAGAGAATGGAAATGACTTGAGGCTGTATTGTCATTTTTCCATCAAAATCATCTCTTGGAAATATAATTTCTAAACTCTGGAATTGTAATTAATCTAGCAAAGATTAAATCTTGGACATTCTGGACAAGTGGTATTCCTCTGTATTCTTTTAATTATTTGGTAGATATTATTTATATTTTATTTAGAATATTTATATCTATCATCATAAGGGAATCTGGTCATGTTTGATTATGAGACTAGGGCTATGCTACTAGCCTCACAGAATGAGCTTCAAAAGTTTTTTAGGGGTGAGGGGAATGGAAAATTTCAAGTGTAAAACTACTTGGTCTAAATTTCTCAAAAACCATAAACTACCAAATATCAACTAAGATGAAACATATAACTCAAATAGCCAGATAACTGAAACACCATTTATAATTGTAAAGCTCCCTAAATAGAAATCCTCAGGCCCAGATGGCTTCATAGGCAAATTTTCACAAATATTTGAAGGACAAACACAAATTTGATACACCTTCTCCCAGAAAACAGAGGAACACTTCCCAACCCATTTTATGAGGCCACTATTACACTGATACCAAAACCACACAAAGACAAAAAAAAAAAAAAAGAAAAAAAAAGGAAAATGGAGAAATATCTCTCATCATCTTAGAAAAATCCTCAATAAAACGTTAGCAAGTCAATTCCAACAAGAAATTATATAACGTGACTGAGTGGGATTTATCACAGGTATACAAGACTGATTTGACATTCAAAAATCAATCAGTGTAATTCACCACATATGGATAGGTTGAAGAAGAAAAATTTTATGATGATATCAATTGCTGCAGAAAAAGCATGTGATCAAATCTAACATCCATACATGATTTTTTTTTAAAAAAAGAACCTTTCAGCAAGTTATGAACAGAGGGGAACTCCTTCAATTTAAAAAAGAGCATCTACATAAAACCTACTTACATCTTAATGGTGAAAGACTGAATGTTTCCTCCTAAGACCAGGAACAAGGCAAGGATGTCTGTTCTCACTAGTGTTAATTCAACGTAGCAGTATAAGTTACAGCCAGCATAATAAGGCAAGCAAAAGAAACAAAAGACAACCAGACTAGAAAGGAAGAAATAAAATTGTCCTTACTTATAGATGACATGATTGTCTATGTAGAAATCCCTACGGAATTTACTTAAAAAAAAAAAACAAAACCTTCCAGAACTAACTAGTGAGTTCTGCAGCAAGATCACATTACCAAATCAGTATACAGATATATGTATAATTTGTATATACTAGTGATGAATAGGTAAAAACTGGAATTAAAAACACAACACCATTTACAACTTTTCCAAAGAAAACGAAACACTTAGGTATACACTTACAAATTGTGTATAATATGTGTATGCCAAAAATTACAACTCCTAATAAAAAAAATCAAAGAAGATTGTATTTGTTTCCCAGGGCTGCCATAACAAATTACAACAAGCTTAGGTTTTAAAACAACAAAAATCTACTTTCTTACAACAAGCTTAGGGTTTTAAAACAACAAAAATCTATTTTCTTATAGTTCTGGGGAATAGATGTTCAAAATCAAGGTATTGGCAGGGCCATGCTCTCTCGGAAGGCTCTAGGGGAGGATCCTTTCTTGCCCCTTCCAGTTTCTGGTGGTTACCAGTAATCCTGGGTGCTCCTTGGCTTGTCAATGTATCATTCCAACCTCTGTCTCTGATTTCACATGGCATTCCCTGTGTTTGTGTCCATATTTCCCTCTTATTAGGACACCAGTCATTAGAGCAGTGCCTGCTCTAATCCAATATGACCTCATTTTAACTTGATTAAATCTGCAAAGACCCTATTTCCAAATAAAGTCACATTCACAAGTACGGGAGTTAGGACTTGAATATTTTGGGGAACATAATTAAACCCACAACAAAGACCTAAAAATGGACAGACATAACATGTTCATGGATTGGAAGACTCAGACAGTAAAGATGTCAATTATCCCCAAATTGAATTCCTATTAAAACCTTAGCAAGCTTTTTTTTTGTAGATATAGGTAAGCTTATTCTAGAAATTATATGAAATGGCAAAAGACCTAGAATAGCTAAATCAATTTCAAAAAAGAATAAAGTGGGGGGAATCACTCTACCCAATATTAAGATATCCTACAGAGTGACGATAATCAAGACAAGGTGGTATTGGCAGTGGTACAGACACATAGGTCAATGGAAGAGAAGAGAAAACCCAGAAATAGATGTACACAAATATATTCAATGGATTTTTGACAAAGGTGCACAACTATTCAATGGAGGAAAAATATTCTTTTCAACAAATGGTGCTGGAACTATTGGACATCTATAAGCCAAAACAAACAAGAAAGAACATCAAGCTAAAGCATACAATGTATACAAAAAATACCTCAAAATGGATCACAGACTTAAATGTAAAACATAAAACCATGAAAACTTTATGCAAAAACATAGAAGAAAATCTTTGGGAGCTGAGGCTAGGCAAGGAGTCCTTAGATTTGATACCACAAGCAAGATCCACAAAAGGAAAAATTGGGGCCGGCCCCGTGGCTTAGCGGTTAAGTGCTCGCTCTCTGCTGCTGGCAGCCCGGGTTTGGATCCCGGACGGGCACCAACGCACCGCTTCTCCAGCCACGATGAGGCCGCATCCCACATACAGCAACTAGAAGGCTGTGCAACTATGACATACAACTATCTACTGGGGCTTTGGGGGAAAAAAATAAAATAAATAAAAATTAAAAAAAAAAAAAAAAGGAAAAATTGATAAACTAAACCTTATCAAAATTGAAAACTTTTGCTCTTCAAAAGATCCTGTTAAAAGTATGAAAAGATAAGCTATGCACTGTGAAAAAATATTTGCAAATCATGTATCCAACAAAGGACTAGTATCATCTACAATACAGAAAGCACACTTTCAAAACCCAACAGTAAAAAAAAAAAATACAGGCATATCTCATTTTATTGCACTTCACTTTATTGTGATCTGAAGATACTGCTTTTTTTCACAAGACCCTCCACCAGCAAAAAGATTATGACTCACTGAAGGCTCAGATGATGATCAGTATTTTTTAGCAATATTTTTTAATTAAGGTATGTACATTGTTTTTTTAGACATAATGCTATTGCACACTTAACAGCCTACAGTATAGTGTAAACATAACTTTTATATGCACTGGGAAACCAAAAAATTCATGTGACTTGCTTCACTGCGATATTTGCTTTATTGCAGTGGTCTGGAACCGAACCCACAATATCTCTGAGGTATGCCTGTACAATTAAAAAATGAGTAAAAGACATGAAAAGGCATTTCACAAAACTGGATATATGGATGGGAAATAAGCACATGAAAAGGTATTCAATGTCATTAGCCATTAGGGAAATGCAAATTAAAACCACAAAGAGATATCACTACACACCTATCGGAATGGCTAAGATAAAAAGTGGTGACAACACCAAATGCTACATGCAGAGAAACTGGGTCACTCATTTGTTCCTGGTAGGAATGTAAAATGGTAAAGACATTTTGAAAAATAATTTGTCCATTTCTTATAAGAGAAAACATGCATTTACTGTAAGACCCAGAAATTGCACTGTTAGGCATTTATACCAGAGAAATGGAAATTTATGTTCACACAAAAACCTATACACAAATGTTCATAAGCAGCTTTATTTGTAACAGCCAAATACTTATTTTTTTCCTTAGGGTTTCTTTCTAGTAAGAATTTTATGATTCAGAGCAAGGAATAACCTCACATTAATTATATTAGAATCTTTTGTTCCAAAATAATTTATCTGATGCTTAGTAAAAATGATGAAAAGATTACCTTATGTACTGTATTTGTAAAGTCTCCCTCTCATTTGAATTCTGTAATGATATATGATTAAAATACCAAATAAAAATGTTTACAATAATAGCTAACATTTATTAAGCATAAACTATGTATTACACATTGCTTTAAGGCTTTATCTGTATTTACTCCTTTAAATTGCAAAACACTATGATGAGAAATATGATATTAATGTTTTATAAATGAGCAAACTAAAAGTTAGGTAACTTTCCCAAAGGAACACACACATGGTAAATGGTAGAGCTCAGATGATGCTGAAGAGAATGATGCTGAACAAGAGAAGCCTACATTTTAGGGTTGTGATCTTATAATGAATTCACTAATGTCTAACAAAGAATGAAATATAATGAAAAGTGATTCTGCATTTATATTAATCTATCCTTTCTCACTGTGAATTCTCTGAAAGTGAATTACTTATGAGTGAAAATAAACAAGGATTCCCACATTAATAATCTGAATTTTCAAACATTCCAAAGCTGAATGTCATGGACAGACAGGTAAAGGATGTACCAAACTAAGATTTTGGTGCAGTTTTTCTCCATTATGAAGTTTATGATGTTGAGTAAGGTGTGAATGACGTCTAAAGTCCTTGCCACATTCATTACATTTATAAGGCTTCTCACCAGAATGAATTCTTTGATGTTGAGTAAGTTGTGAGCCACGATTAAAGGCCTTCCCACATTCATTACATTTGTACGGTTTCTCACCAGTATGAATTCTCTGGTGCTGAGTAAGATGTGAACCACGAATAAAGGCTTTCCCACATTCATTACATTCATAGTGCTTCTCACCAGTATGAACTCTCTGATGGTAAGTTAGCTGTGAGCCACGAATAAAAGCCTTACCACATTCCTTACATTCATATGGTTTCTTACCAGTATGAAAAATCTGATGTAGAGTAAGTTGTGAGGCACAAATAAAGATTTTCCCACACTGCTTGCATTCATAGGGATTCTCACCTGTATGAATTCTCTGATGTTGAGTCAACTGTGAGCCATAAATAAAGGCCTTCCCACACTCTTTACATTCATAGGGTTTTTCACCAGTATGAATCCTCTGGTGCTGAGTAAGATGTGAGCTACGAATAAAAGCTTTCCCACATTCCTTACATTCAAAGGGTTTTTCACCAGTGTGAATTTTTTCATGTTCAGTAAGTTGTGAGCCACGAATAAATGACTTCCCACATTCTTGACATTCATAGGGTTTCTCACCAGTATGAATCCTCTGATGTCGAATAAGCTGTGAGCCATAGTTAAAGGCCTTTCCACACTGCTTACATTCATGTGGTTTCCCACCTGTATGGATCCTCTGATGTTCAGTAAGTTGTGAGCCACGAATAAAGGACATCTCACAATCTTTACATTTATAGGGTTTTTCACCAGTATGAAGTCTATTATGTAGAGTAAGCTGTGAGCCATAACTAAAAGCTTTCCCACATTTCGTACATTCATAGGGTTTCTCACCAGTATGAATTCTCTGATGCTCCGTAAGTTGGGAGCCACGAATAAAGGCCTTTCCACATTCCTTACATTGATAGGGTTTCTCTGCGGTATGAACCCTCTGATGGTAAGTAAGTTGGGAGCCACGAAAAAAGGCCTTCCCACATTCATCACATTCATACGATCTTTCACCAGTATGAATTCTTTGATGCTGGGTAAGATGAGAGCCACGAATAAAGGCCTTCCCACACTCTTTACATTCATAAGGTTTTTCCCCAGTATGAATTCTTTGATGATAAGTAAGTTGCGAGGCACAAATAAAGGCTTTTCCACATTCCTTACAGTCGTAGGGTTTCTTAGCAACATGAACTCTCTGATGGTAAGTAAGTTGTGAGCCTTGAATAAAGGCCTTTCCACATTCTTTACATTCATAGAATTTTTCATCAGAATGAATTTTCTGATGTTCAGTCAGTTGAAAGCCATGGATGAAGTATTTTCTGCACGCTTTACATTCATAGGATTTCTCAGTAGAATGAATTCTCTGTTTTAATGTAAGGGATGTGATCTGGCTAAAATTGGAAATTTCTTCATAAGTGATGACTAACTGACTGAAAAGTTTCTCTTTATTTCCTAATTGGCTTTCAAACTGGTCTTTGCATTCCCTATCATCTTGAAAACTTTTATACTCACACTTATGGCTTGCAAGTTGTTCTGTTATCTCCCATTGAGATGATTCTATTTCACAAATTTCTCCTTTTGATGATAGATTCTTGGTCTCACAGCTGGATCCACAGTCTGTAGGATAACAAGAAAGTAAACAAATGCTATTTTCATATTCCTTGAAAAATGAAACTTGTAAGGTAGAAATGGTAGATTCAAATTGAATATTATATTCACACTCATAAAATATCAATGGAATCAATGTAGAAGAAAAGAAAAATCCAGAAACAGACAGAATTACAACTGCAAATTTAGTATACAATAAAGCTGGCAGCTCAACTCAGTAGGGAAAAGATGGACTCTTTTTAATAAATGAAGTGATAAACATAAGAATAAACATATAGAAAAAGGATAAAATTGCATTAATTCCTCAGATAATACAGCCAGATAAATTCCAAATAGATCAGATGTCCACATTTACAGAAATGAAAACATACAAATAATTAGAATAAAACTTGGGTGACTTCCCTTCTGTAACCTAGGAATGGGGAAAACTTTCCTAATCGTAACTTGATAAAAATGACCATATTACATTCAAAGAAGAAAAAAAAAGGCTGCCATGTCAAAAACATGATAAGGCAAGTAAAATGACAAACTGGGAAAAAATATTTGCAAAGGTGAAATATCCCTAATATATAAAGTTTCTAAAAGTAGACTAGAAAGAAAGAGACTACCAAAATTATATAAAAATGGACTAGAGAAATGGACAGTTGATAGAAAAGTAATACGAACAGCTTTTAACCATATGAAAATATACTCAAACTTTTTAAGATAAACGCAAATTAAAACTACAGAGAGGTGACACAGGGAGAATATGGAGGATATGGACAAAGTGGAACTGTCATACATTGATGGGAATGGAAAATGGTACAGCTGCTTTGGAAAACAGTTTTGCAGTTCCTCAAAAGGTTAACATAGAGTTGCCACATTACCCAGCAATTTCACTCCTACTTATATACCCAATAGAAATGTCCAAAATAACCCCAAATCCCACTCATGATATATACCCAAGAGAACGGAAAACATATGTCCATATAAAAACCTGTACACAATGTTGACAACATTGTGTTGTATTATTCATAATAAGCAAAAAGTAGAAACAACTCAAACATCCATTAACTGCTGAATGGATAAATAAAATGTGGTATATCCATACAATGAAATATTTGGCAATAAAAAGAAATACTGACACATGCTACAACATGAATAAACTTTGAAAACATTATGCTTAGTGAAAGAAGCTTGTCACAAAAGACTACATGTTATATAATTCCATTTATATGAGTTGTCCAGAATGGGCAAATCTATAGAGACAGAAAGATCAGCAGTTGCATAGGGCTGGGGGTTGGGGTTGAGGTTAGAGGAACACGCGGAATGGCTATAACTGGATACTGAGTTTCCTGTTGGGGTGATGAAAACATTCTAAAATTGACTGTGGTGATGGCTCCACAAGACTATGAATATACTAAAAGTCATCAATTTATCTACTATAAATGGGTAAATTGTGTGGTATGTGAATCATATCTCAATAAAGTAGTTAAAAAAAAAAAAAAAACACTACACTGAGATGCTATTTCTCACCTCTTAGAATAGTGAATTTCCAAACATGACATCAAATTCTGTTGGCAAGGCTACAAGGAAAATGGTACTCTTAGACATTGTCAGTAAGAATATGAATGAATACAAACCCTATGAAAGGGAATGTGGCAATATTTAGCACAATTATGTATGTTTTGGTCTAGCAACCCTTCTGTGAAATCTATCCCAAAATTCCACTAGCAAAAATTCAAAAATTCTGATGCACAAGGTTTTCACCGAAGCACAACTTGTTACAGTAAAAGATCAAAAATAATACAATTGTCCACTTGTAGGTGGCTGCTTCAAGTAATTCATGGTATATCCACATCATGGAGTACTACGCAGCAGTTAAAAAAGGGAATATACTTTTATAATAATATGGACTGCTATTTAAAATACACTGTTAATTGTAAACAAAAACATAGACAAATGTATAGTTATGCTTTTTACCTTAGGAGAGAGAGGAAGTATGGATGTATAATATACATCTGCTTTTATTTTTAAAAGAGGGGGATAAACCCCATAGTTACAGGGTGGAGAAGGAATAAGTGGAGGGGACAGGGATAGAAGTCAGACTTCTTTCAATATAACTTGTTTTGTAGATTTGACTTTAAAGATATATAAATATTTTATGTAATTATAAACAAAATTAAATTATAAGAAAGCATAGCTTAAAAATTGAAAACACTGAATAAAAAAACCCCACAGTATTTACAATTGGCAGCATAACCATAACAGGAAACTATTTCAAATAACTTTCAAACATAGTAATTTGACTGTGAGATGTACCCTATGTGAAGGAAAAAGATGAACTTCCAAAACAATGATCTCAAACTGTGTTGAGTAACCATATTGTTGGTGGTAGTGTTGATCTTATTTCAAAGGATTGTGTGTATAATGTGGGATAAAATAACTATGTGATATTCTAATTCTATCATTATTGTGTCCACGATAACTGGGACTCTTTGCATGGGAGAAAATGGATGCAGATCTAAGATTTTAAAAAGGGTTAAATAAAAAGCCCATAGTTCAGAATTTAAATTGGAAGTATTGGTATGAACTCATGCTGTAGTTTATCTTTTATTTTAATCAACACATTTTATTGCTTAGAGCAGTTTTAGGTTTACATAAAAACTGAACAAAGTTCAGAGAGTTCCCACAAGCCCCCTTTCCTTGCCTTCCAGTTTCTCTTATTATTAATATCTTAATATCTTGCATTGGTGTAGTACATTTCTTACAAGCGATAAAGGTACACTGAAACATTATCATCAACTAAAGTTAATAGTTTACATTAGGGATCACTCTTTGTGTTATAAAGTTCTAAGGGTTTAGCCAAATGCATAATATCATGTATTCACTACATGAATATCATATACTACAGTATCATACAGAATAGTTTACCTAAAAATCCCCTGTACTCCACCTAGTCATTCCTCCTCCCTCCCCAAATCCTCGCAACCACTGATGGTTTTACTGACTCTACAGTCTGCCTTTTCCAGAATGTCATACAGTTGGAGTCATAAAGTATGCAGACTTTTCAAACTGGCTTTTTTCACTTGGCAAGATGCTAAGCATTTAAGGTTCCTCCATGTCCTTGAATGGCCTGATCACTTATTTCTTTTCACTGCTGAATAATATTCCATTGTATGGATGTACTGCATTTTGTTTATTCATTCACCAATTGAAGGACATCTTGGTTGCTTCCAAGTTTTGGTAATTATGAACAAAGCTTCTATAAACATTTGTGTGCAGGGTTTTGTGTAGACAAACATTTTCAATTTATTTGGGTAAATATCTAGGAGCACAATTGCTGGATCATATAGTAAGACTATGTTTAGTTTTGTAATAAACTGCCACACTGGCTACCAAAGTGGCTGTACCATTTTGCATTCCCACCAGCAATGAAAGAGAGTTCCTGTTGCTCCACATCCTTGATAGCATTTGGAGCTGTCAGTGTTTTGGATTTTAGTCATTCTAACAGATATGTAGTTACATCTCATGGTTGTTTTATTTTGCAATCCCCTAATGACATACGATGCTGAGCATCTTTTCATATTACCATGAGCTTACCTTCTCTGGTGAGGTAGCTGTTCAGATCTCTTGCCCATTTTTGAATTGGGTTTTTTGTTGTTGTTGTTGAGTTTTAATAATTCTCTGTATATTTTGGATGTAAGTCCTTTATGAGATATCTGTTTTGCAAAGATTTTTATCCCAGTCTGTGGCTTTTCTTTTCATTCTCATAACTGTCTTTCACACAGCAGAACTTTTTAATTTTAATGAAGACCAACTTTTAACTTTTTTTGTTCATGATTATGTTTTTGGTGTTCTATATAAAAACTCAGTCCCAACCCAAGATCACCTAGATTTTCTCCTCTGTTATCATCTAGAAGTTTTATAATTTTGCATTTTACATTAAAGACTTATAATGTATTTCTGTGAAAGGTATAAGGTCAGTGTATAGATTTTTTTTTTTTTTTTGCATGTAGATGTTCAGTTTTTCTAGCAACATTTGTTGAAAAGACTATCCTTTCTCCATTGGATTGCCTTTGCTCCTCTGCCAAAGATTAGTGGAGTATATTTGTGTAGGTTTATTTCTGGGCTCTCTATTCAGTTGCACTGATGTGTTTATTCTTTCACTAATACCACATTGTCTTGATTATTGTAGCTTTATAGAAGTCTTGAAGTCAGGTAATTTTGAAATCAGGAAGTCTGAGTCCTGCAGTTTTGTTATTATCTTTTTCTATCCTTTTACTTTCAATCTATTTGTGTCTTTGGATCTAAAGTAACTTTCTTATAGACAGTATATAGTTTTATCATGTTTATATCCATTCTACCAATGTCTGTACTTTGTTTGGAGAGTTTTGCCCATCTCTGTTTGGAGAGTTTAATCTCTTTAAAGTAATTACTGATAAGGAGAAACTCAATTCTGACCTTTGGCTGTTTTCTATATGCCTTATAGTTTTCCTGTCCTTCATTTCCTGCATTACTGTCTTCTTTTTGTTCTTTTTGTTTCTTTTAGTTCACTTTTGTAGAGGAATGTTTAAATTCCTTTCTCATTTCCTTTTGTGTATATCCAAAAGCTATTTTCTTTGTGGTTACCAGGGAGATTACATTTAACATCCTAAAGTTATAACACTCTAATTTGAATTTATACCAGCTTAATTTCAATAATATATGAAAACTCTACTCCTTTTACATCTCAGTCCCCACCCTCTTCAATCACTGATGTCACAAAGTTACATCTTTATCCATTTTGTGCCCCAAAACATAAACTAATAATTCTCCTAAAATCATTAGTCTCTTAAATTATGTAGAAAACAAGATTGGAGTTACAAACAAAAGTTACAATAATACTAGCTTTTAGACTAATAATTGTTTTTTCTTTAACTGTATTAGTCTCTTAAATCATGTAGAAAACAAAAAGTCTGGCTACAAACCATTGTTACAATACTAGCTTTTAAAATTGCCCATGTCCTTACCTTTACTGAGTTCTTTGT